TCTCATGTTGAAAAAAAATGCAATACAGGAGTGTTGAACAACACGTAGCTGCAATAAAGCTAGTGCATTCTGCCATATCACATGGTTTTGCTTTCACTTCAATGAGTCATCATTTATAGGGTTGCTTTATAAATTGTAGACATATCCCAAGTCTAATTCACCTGTCCTGTAAGTCAAGATGTTTTCAGCTTGCATTTTGCATTGCACAGCTTTTGCATTGCTGAAATAATAACATTCTTCCATATTAATGTGAATTGATAAGGCATATTTCTGTCCTGTGAACTTAGCCAGCAGTAAAGGGGACTATCCTGTCTTGCTGGTGTCAAAATGGACATTTAGCTTTCTAGGCGACAATGAAACGTGTTTTGTTGGCACCCACAGCATCAGCAGCTTTTCTGTATCCTGTGAGTACTGAGTCAGGAAAATGTCACTTCAGCTGTGTTTACATCTTTTCATGATCATTTAAAAAAATATTCAAGGGGTCAAGCTTTCTAAGATGACATATTCTAAAAAAAAAGCAGATAAATTTAAGCTAAAATGTTTGCTGAAACATATTTATTATTTCTTTTCATTTCTACTCCTTGATTTTTGATGCTTGATTAAAAGATCAATCCATCAGGGAAGAGTCATTAACATGTGAGTTGTGTAAATAGCCATTGGCATAGAAACTGTGAAAAAGGAATAGTGCTATTCACAACAGAATGATGATGAATTAGTTTTGAATAATTTTCAAATAATTAAAAAGAATAAAAGTAAAGTTTCTCAATCTGCTTATGCATATTCTGAAAAGGAAATAAAAAAGAGAATTTTTCACTTCAAAGTTTTATTATGTGTTCCACTTCAGGTACAGGTCAAAAGATTGCTTTCCAGTTGACATCCCTGCCTCACCAAACACAACATCTGCTTCTGAGATTTACTCATGTATGGCAGATGAAAATCAGCTGTGTTAGGATCACTCAAAGGGTGTATAGGAGACACACTCTCTATTTAGACTGAGCTATACATAAACTGTGTTTCTATAAAGATACCAGTTTTGTTAAAAAAGAGCTTTCATTACACCAATGCTAATCTTCAAGTGGAAAAAAAATGTATTTAACAGGGTAGTTTTCAGTTTAATTAAAACGCACAGCCACTTTGTGTGTAGAATTGTTTAGTATTATGAATTTAAACTAGCAAAAACACTGTAGTTTGTGTAGGCGTTACATTTTACGCTCGTAAAGCCTAAGCCACAGTCAAATGATACCTGATCTTGCACAAAGCTTGTTAGTACAACAATAATCTGTCAACACTTTAGAACAAATTCAAACAGCCAGGTGGAATTTGTTCTATATCAGCATTCTGTATCACTTGGCTAACATGGTTTTTGGCAGTACAAGTCCTGAAATTGTATTTTCTGTTTTCAAATTATAGCTTCTCTATTTTACACTGATTTAGCTGTAGCATTTAGGTGCATGACTCAAGTAACTCTTACTTGATTTTTGTGTACAGATAATATCAAATAATGGTTTTCCATCTTTTCTGGAAGAAGTTTTTATTCCAAGAAATATTCTGAATAGGAATGTTAATATGTTTAATCACTAGATCAAGAAAATAGGATGAAGCTTATCAAAGTATATGCATCTAATGGCGAGAAGTTACAAATACCTGGGCAGGAAATTGGTAGTGTACTCAAGGCAAAATGAAAGCTGACTGCTAGAAAGTGTTTTTCTTTTCCCGTGCATGACAAGAATAAACCTTATCTATGACTGAAGATTCATCAGTGGAAATTGCCCCTGTTTTCCATTAGGTGAGTAGAATTTCTGCTTGGATTGTCAAGCAACAGAAATGCAAAAACACCTGAGGGACTGATATCCAGAAGATGTTTGTATAAATGTAGAGGGCAGTTTGTTTGGTTTTTGTGGATTTTTCTTTTTTCCCTGCGGAAAACCCCCAACAGTAACAACAAAAACTTCAGAACAGTTTGTAAATTAAGTATAATTCAACACATTTGTTACAAAAAGAACCATGGATACTCAGTGTGCATCGGAAAAAGACCTTGAATTCTGTTAAACTTGTTTATTTGTCAAACTGCCCTCAAAGTGATGTCTTATGAGTGATATTTACTATCTTTGAGAATACAGCTATCAGGTTACAAATACAATGGAATTGTAAGATGTTTCCTTTTCCCTCGGCAACCTTTCCTGTTTTGCAGTATTGAATACCATACTTCTGTTTTAAGCAGTGCATGCAGTTGGTCTTCTTCAATTTAATTAAGTAAAAATAAAAACAAACCTGTAACTACAAGCTAGTATGAAAAGACTCCCCCAGACATAGTGAGGGTCCTAATATGTGTTTAAATATAAACGTGCTAAAACTAGACAGAGATCTCCTGATAGATCTCTAAGGTCACTGAAACTTCAGTGGTGAATGTGCTGTTTGAAAACAGCAAGTAATGCACCAAGGCAGGGTTGTGCTTCCTGCTGTGGTCCTTCATCTACCCTTGTCTGACATACACCACACAAAAGGCAAGCAAATACTTTAGACCCTGAAATTTTGCAAGTTCCATCATATCTTTAAAGTGATTCTGTTTTACAGAAAGTTTGAAATGGCTGGATGGCTGCACACAAAGAGTTGTGGTCAATGGCTCAATGTCCAGCTGGAGACCTCTAACGAGTGGTGTCCCTAAGGGATCGGTGTTGGGACCGGTCTTGTTTAACATCTTTGTCGCTGACATGGACAGTGGGATTGAGCGCGCCCTCAGCAAATTTGCTGATGACACCAAGCTGTGTGGTTCGGTTGATACGCTGGAGGGAAGGAATGCCATCCAGAGGGACCTTGACATGCTTGTAAGGTGCGCTGATGCCAACCTCATGAAGTTTAACCGTGCCAAGTGCAAGGCCCTACATGTGGGTCAGAGCAATCCCCGGCACAACTACAGGCTGAGCAGAGAAGAGATTCAGAGCAGCCCTGTGGAGAAGGACTTGGGGGCACTGGTCAATGAGAAAATGAACATAAGCCTGCTTCAGTGTGCGCTCACAGCCCAGAAAGCCAACTGTATCCTGGGCTGCATCAAAAGGAGTGTGACCAGCAGGTCGAAGGAGGTGATCCTGCCCCTTTATTTTGCTCTCATGAGACCTCAATTGGAGTATTGCGCACAGTTCTGGTGTCCTCAACATAAAAAGGACATGGAACTGTTGGAATTAGTCCAGAGGAGGGCCACGAGGATGATCCGGGCACTGGAGCACCTCCCGTATGAAGATCGGCTGAGAAAGCTGGGGCTGTTCAGCCTGGAGAAGGGTGCATGTAGACCTCATAGCAGCCTTCCAGTATCTGAAGGGGGCATATAGAGATGCTGTGGATGGACTCTTCATTAGGGACTGTAGTGATAGGACAAGGGGTAATGGGTTAAAACTTAAACAGGGGAAGTTTAGACTGGAAATAAGGAGGAAATTCTTTCCTGTTAGGCTGATGAGGCACTGGAATAGGTTGTCCAGGGAGGTTGTGAATGCTCCATCCCTGGCAGTGTTCAAGGCCAGGTTGGACGAGGCCTTGGGTGATATGGTTTAGAGCAAGGTGTCCCTGCCCATGGCAGGGGGTTGGAACTTGATGATCTTAAGGTCCTTTCCAACCCTAACCATTCCATGATTCTATGATTCTATAAATTAATACTTTTATTATGTGAAGATGAAAAATAACCCAAATATCACAGTATTAACTTTTACACCTGTAAAATGCATTCAGAATATGACTTTGCCTATTTTATAATCCAAGGTTTATATTCTGGGGCATTTGCAGTCAATGCAGTCTATTTCCAAGGAATAGATGTGCACATGCATGTGCAAATGTGTGCAAGAGGATGTGCACTATGATTCTGAAAAGGAGCAGGATCAGTTTCCTTAAAACATAAAACTTCAAGCAAACAAATAAACAGCGCATGCTAACCTGTTAATAATAGTTCAGAAGATGTGACTGGGAAAGGCAGCTGTCTGTGGCCTGTGCCTTTTGGGATGGCTATTCTTACGGAGATATAACAGACGGTTATATAGGGTTATTTAAGAGAACTCATGTAAGAATTTACAGCTTCAGTCTCTGCAGTGTTTTCTGCACAGGCTTTTACCTAATCTGTTCAACAGACTGCTAAGATTTCCGGCACTGGAAGCAATGGTCTCTTTGCTCCCTATTGCTTGTGGCTGTCTAAGTGACTGCCAAGGAAGGATTATCCTCTAAAGCTAAGGGTGATGGTGGCATTACCACTACCCTGATGGGAAGGAAGGGTAGACTAGCACCTTGAAAACTCCTGATTATCAAGCTCCTTTGCTCCATCTTGTTTCTGCATGGTCCTACCCATTTTCAAGGTCATGCCAACTCCTTTAAATTTACCTCCTTCTTCTTCAGTGGTAATAGCTATCTTACACCTAAATTTTGCCCTCCTCTTCCTCCTGCCCCTGTTTTTTGAGCAGGCTTTCTGCTACTCAGTGTCCACAGCTTGGGATCCTGCCAACACAACTGAGACAGCAAGTCTGGAAATAGCCTATAGAGCCCCACTTTGCTAGACTGGAAACTCATATAAAATAGGCTGGAAAGATTTATACAATGATATTGGCAGCTGATTAACAAAAAAACACACCCAGAAGCCAAAATGAATTTTGAGTACTGTGGAAGGATGCCAGATTGACAGCTCCACGAACCACAGCTATACACAGGACAGAGACCAACTCCACCAGCTTCTGCCACCCTGTATGAGAAAATCCGATGGCTGTGATGAGCAACATTCAGATTCTATAGCTGGGATTTTATTTTTTTTTTGTTGTTGTAGTAAGACCTGAAGGTTAAACTGTAAGGAAGTGTATATGCCTGTTTTGGGTAGACTTTCTTTTCCTTTTCTAAAGTTCATGGCAAAAGTTTGGATCACATAAGTATTTACAGTAGATCAGACTCATGCCACCACTCAGATGTTTCTATAATTGTCCATTTTCGCTTGTCTATGACTCATAAATAATCAGTACCTACTCTCAACACAGGACAGAAGAGAGACTTGGGGTTCCAGGCTGGAGCAAGATGAGCGGAGTCAACTACATTTAAGGTAGGCATGTGAAAATGCCAGGGCTAAATAAGCCTTTTTTGGGCCAGAGGTACATTACTCTCAGGGACTGTGTTAGACTTTCACAGATACTTCGTGCTGTAGAGTTTGACCTGCCAAGAGCTGACCCAGTGATATGCCTGTGGTTTACCAATGTCCATTATAGATCACCTCAACTTAGCCTTTGCTTCTGAGGTCAATTTTCTTTTTTTTTAAATCCAATAAGGTTCAACTACTTTTTAGGCAACAAATTCCAGTTAAAAAAAGAAGAAAGACAGAGTGCAAATAGTGTCTGGTTTATTCCCTTTGCTGTTTGATTCAATGCTTTTTTTACTTCATGGGTTTATTATGCCCTTGCAGGACTTAATGCTAACATTGACTGGAAGTGAAAGCCATGTCTTTTCCCAGTGTAAATTCTGACAAGAACCAGGCTTTTCCAGAGTGTGATGTCAGCAGATCGCTGGATCTAATATAGACAGTACCTACAACAGGTACTAGCAATCAACACTTTCTCTCTGCAGATTTTCTCCCTATGAAAGCCTCTCTTGCATTCTTCAGCAGGAAGGGCATTAATTATCTTGCTTACTTAAAGCATATTGACACAGTTTCAGCTGGAGTGTGGGACAACCTGCAGCTTCCTTATAGCCCAACTGAACTGTCCTGGATTAAGGAAGCAAGACCATACTTTGAAAGTCTTGATATGACTGAACTTTGAAATAGGTTTTGGGTTGTCCAGTCATGTCAAGAAAAGGTATGTCTATCCATTTTTTGCATGCCTAACAAAGCTTGGGGTCACACAGAGGAGCATCTACAAAGTTCAAGTGCAACCATGTTAAGTAGTTGTGCAGTAATGAGTTTTCATAGCCACAAGAACAGCTTAAATCTGGTCCAAGACCTATTTAAGTAATCTTAGTGCTTTATAACATCTGACTGTAACGAAAATTCAGAAACTATCCATACTTTTGATTACACCCCAGGTTTTTTATTTATTTGCTCTTAACCTCACAAAGTGTCTCCATGATTGGCTGAAAATACCACAGAGTGCTGTCTGTAGCTCTCCTCATATGCCAGCTCTGAGCAAAAAGGGTGGTGTACTCAGTTTATGGAGGGTAAACCCTGCAGTAAGTCACTGAAGGTCCCTGAAAATGTAGCTATAGTGCCGACTACTACTGCCATCTTATGTATTGGAATATTCCTTCATGGTGTGAAGATCTGAATTCAGGGTTACTGAATCTCACAACTCTTCAGGGATGACCTTTGACACTGAGTTTTTCTGAGCCCATTCTTCCTTCCCTGGCTGTGTCTCTCTGCAGCCAGGGACCTGAGAGTCACACTATGAGAAAGAACACTCACTTAGGGGCTCCCTAGCTCTCCTCTGGTGTAGGAGACATTCAGATAAGACAAAAGCTGTAGATGGTGGTAATCTTTATGTTTATGACTATTTTTTGCATTTTTTTGTCCAATAAATGTCAGGTAACTTGACTTCCCTTCTCTTAATTTGGGCTAGAACTCTTTTGTTTGCTTTCTCTTCATTCTTTTCTCTGCTGTAGTTAATTTTCTGATGAGGTAATCCTGGAGACTGATGGCTGACTAGCTCCTAGAAAAAGAGAGAGACCTTCTCATACTGAGAGGGCCTGGGAATCCAGGTCCCTTTCTCAGAGCCTTTTTATTGCCTGGCTATTCAAACAGAGCAGAGACAGAGGAGCACTAAGTCCTCCTAACAATAAAAACCCCAAACCCAACCAACCAATAAAAAAAAAAAAATAAACACAATAGTAACAAAAATATCCTAACACTTCATCACAGAAAACAGATAAATAATAAGCCTGCTGCTCCAAATTTGAAGACATCTATTCTTCTTATAGTAGAGGGCACGCCAATATTTGCTTTAGAAGTATAGATTATTCTGTAAGGAATATGAATGTAAGATTTGTTATATCCAGAAATCTGTGCTTTTTTAAATTTAACCAGGAAAATATGTATTTACTGTCTTTAAAAACTGTGCTGTGGTTTGTTTTTTTTCCTTTTTAAAGGACAGTAAGGCAAATTTTTGTATGTTTCTGGAAATAATAGAATAAGTCTTTGTTTTCATTGGAGCTTAATTAGTTAATTTAACATAGCATCAGCCTTACTATGAAGCTTCATAAAAATTTTCATTTCCAAGTAGCTTTCCTGTTCAGATATAAGAAAGTGCATCTAAACCAATAAAGCCTGATTCAGGAACTGATGGGCTCATTTGCATCCTGGCCAGAACATCAATCAATAGCTTTCATTTTGTTTAAAGGCCAGGGGCCAAATTAGAGTTTGAAAAGTCCTTGTAAAACCTTTGGGTAATTTTGAGATTGAGTCTAATGAAAGATTAATGAATACAGGCATCCATTTCTAGCCCATCTATTTACATATGACTTTTACCTTCAGTCCTGCTGAGTGGCAATCAAAGTGAATCAGTCTGTTTCTGCAGATAGTGCTGACTAGCTAAGAATAGCTTCTGCTACCATAGCAGTCTCTTCATGTCATTCTTTTCTATGCCTGTATCATAAGCCTGGAAAGTCAGATATAGGAAAGAACAGTGAGTGCAGTCTGGGTGTTTATCCCTCATTAAAAAATTTACCATAATTTCCACTCTAAGTATAGGAATTATAGTAAATACCTAGCTGTAGTAAAGATCACCACATAATGGCTCCTCTAAGCTACAGACATGGACAAAATTTTCCACTGGTGAATAACAGCAGTAACAGCAGAATGTTCTTTGAAATATAAATCATATTTCCAAAACAAACAGCTAAGTACATTTGGATACATGATTCTTTTTACAATTGTAATCACTAGATTAACCCAAAGTTTTGTATTCTATTTAATAAATGCAGCTAATTTATTTCACTTTTCCAGTATGACTTGATCTGCAGAGAAAACCACAGATTTTTATTAGTGTTACGTTATTTACTTTTATGAAACATTTGATTTGTTTTCTTGTTTAAGGGAGACTAAATACTCTTGGTCCAAAATTTTGTGGCAAGACAAACAGCTCAGTTTTCATTTTCATATGAAATGGGTTCTTTTTTAGAAAGTTTTTATGTGCCCCTCAGAAAGAATGGTCTTTGCTGATGAAAGTTGCTAGACATTTCTCATACTACTAAGATTAATTTAAGCTTCATGAGAACACTCTCTTAAGTTTCCTCTGAATGATCTTTTTACATGCAGGAATGTTACTTTGAGGTTCAGAAATGTGTGAGAAACTGTCGTGGTTTAACCCCAGCCAGACAGCTTGTGCACTCACTCCCAGTGAGTAGTGCCGGGCTGGAAGCAGTCGAGGCCCACGTCCTCCAGGACAGAAGCCCTTCTTACAAATATTGTTTTTTTTCCTCTACCTTCGTATTTTAAACTTTACATACAAAATAAACCAGCTCTCAGAGCACACTCTCTCCTTCTCCAGATAAGTAGGTAATGCATATTTGCTTTGTCCTGATCACCATCAAATAGCTAATCTGAAGTGTTCTTCAGTCATTCCCTCTCTTTCAAGCACAAAAATAACAACCCCTGCAAAGGTGATCTTCATCAAGAGTTACTGCTGGCTCAAGGAACTCTCCTGTGAAACTTCCTCTCAAGGCTGCATGACAGATTCAGATCCTTAGGCAGGGGAAAGGCCTAACCATCCCGAGAGGAATCTGGGTATGGTAGGGTGAGATGGCCCATAGAAACCCATATGTGGTGACTGCAGCCATCAAGCAGACTTTTAGTGAGACATTCAGGAAACCAGAAACCTAACAGGTCACCAGGAGCTGCAGGAATTAGACCCATCAATCTGTGACTATCCACAAGGGGCCAAAAGCCTATGGACTGATTACAGCAGTACTAAATTCTGTGCAGTACTAATATGTGCAGCAAATCCCATTTGTTGCAAAGGAAAATCACCTTAGGATTTGCCTTTTGTGAAGAAAATGAATTAAAGATACATAAAACCATACAAATAAAACGCAATGTCTTTTTATAAAAATGAAGAAACTCTCAATAAAATTCTTCCTTCTCATAGCTCTTTGCAGCTTGTTTCTTCTTTTCTGAGTGTAGACACTGCTTTTTCAATGTGTTCTGTAAAATTCCTAGAGCATTTTGTCATGATGTATAGACATTTATATCAAGAGGCTACATACTTAAACTGTCCGAGGAAGCCACAACATCTAAGAGAGCATATTGTATGAGGAAATTGTGAAATCTGTGTGCCTAACATTCCACTTCTGTTTGTAAAATCAATAACATGTTTTAGTCTAAAGCTTGAAGACACAGCTGCTTAATGTGTGAAACAAAAAGCACACAATTCTCACCTAATGAATACATTTAAAAAACCCCCGATGTATAAGTGAAGGGGCATCCTAAACATTGTTCACAAAGGAAAAGTTCTGATTTGATTTGCATCCCAAGGCCTGTGATCATAATATTCTTCCCTGTGTAAGCAATTAAAAGGCGTCCTTCACATGCTCAGTGTCCCCAGCTCTTACTAGATTCTTGTTGTCTACCAGAGATGACACAGTTTGAAAAAAAAAGAAGGCAGGCATATGGCAAGATGATATGATGGAAAATTGTCTTCCCTTTCCACCTATATTTTGTGATCTAATAAAAGATGTTACCCCACAACTGTGGCTTCTTGTGACTCTCATTGCATTTTGAAACCCTGAGACTGCTCTTGTAGGATTATCTCAAAGCCTGTTTCTCTTATGCAAGCAATGAAGCCTAGTGGATAAACGCATACAACTTTAGAGATAGAGAATTTTTGCAGTTAATTTGAAATGAGAGTAGAAATACTTTAAATGCTCTCAGAAGACTGGAAAAGTAAACAACCAACTCAATCACAATTTTTCTGTGCCACTATACCCTTTTCTTTCAGATAAATCATTTGCCTTCAAACAAACCATTAATCACCTGATGAGTGACTCCAGTAACTGAAATAAACGTTTATGAAAATTATGTTCTGTGGACCATGCAAATGAACTTACCCAATCTCAGCTCCACAATATAGACATGAATATCTAATCCTTTTTTTCTTCAATAGCTTTTTTAATCATCATAATCATCATCATGGCTTGACTTTGCGAACAAAGATTTGAGAAGGGCTTTACCCACGCTTACTACAAGCGCGCTGATGGCTAAGAAGGCCAATGTGGGATAGGCAAATCCGGCTACAAAAAGCACAGCAGAAGGTCTCCTTGGGTGGTACAGGTGGGGCACAATTCTTTATGCGTTGTCTTTTCTCCTTGAGACTAGTTCTTCGTGAGCTCTCAAAGGAGTCAACGGCATTATGTATGGTGTGCCTCCAAGTCTCCCGATTGGAGGCCAAGGTGGACCACTGGTGGTAGTCAGTATGGCCAAGACTGAGGTATTGTTTCAGGGAGTCCTTATATCTCTTCTTTGGGGCACCTCTCTTGCGGCTACCGGTGGCAAGTTCACCGTAAAACAAGATCCTGGGGAGGCAGTGATCCTTCATCCTAGAGACGTGCCCTGCCCAGCGCAGCTGCAATTTCAGCAATATGGCCTCGATGCTGGTGACCCCTGCCTGTTCGAGGACAGTGACATTAGACACATAGTCAGTCCAATGGATGTTTAGAATTGTACGGAGGCAGCGCTGATGAAAGCGTTCCAGGAGTCGCAGGTGATGACAGTAGATGACCCATGATTCAGACCCATATAAAAGAGTAGACAATACAATGGCTCTGTAGACACTGATCTTTGTACTTTTCTTCAGGTGTTTATTGCACCAGACTCTTTTATGGAGTTTTCCAAAGGCTCTATATGCCTTTGCTATTCTGTTGTCTATCTCTTTGTCGATCGTGGCATCCGAGGAAATGATGCTTCCCAGATAGCTGAACTGCTGAACTGTCTTAAGCTCTGACTCGCCGATGGTAATATGGGGATGGCGATAATCTTCTTGGGGTGCAGGTTGGTAGAGGACTACTGTCTTCTTCAAGCTGACTTCCAGCCCAAAAACCTCAGCCGCCTCTGCAAAGCAAGATGTTAAACGCTGCAGAGCTGCTTCTGTGTGGGCAACAAGGGCGGCATCATCAGCAAAGAGCAGTTCACGGACAAGATGGTTTAGGGTCTTAGTGTGGGCCTTCAGTGGCCTTAGATTGAATAGGCTACCATCGGTACGATATCGAATATAAATGCCGTCTTGTTCGTCGAGGTCTGCTGTAGCCCTTTGGAGCATCATGCTGAAGAAGATTGTGAATAAGGTCGGTGCGAGAACGCAACCTTGTTTCACACCATTGGTTATTGGGAAAGGCTCAGAGAGTGCATTGCCATACCTGACTTGGCCTTGCTGATCCTCATGTAACAGAATAATCATTTTGAGGAACTTGGGGGGACAACCTAATTGTTCCAAGATCAGTCACAGGCCTTTTCTGCTCACAGTGTCAAAAGCTTTGGTGAGGTCAATGAAAGTTACATATAACCCCTTATTCTGTTCTCTACACTTTTCTTGCAGTTGTCTGAGAACAAATACCATGTCTGTGGTACTTCTATTAGCCCTGAAACCACACTGACTTTCAGGTAGAAGTTCTTCTGCGATAGCAGGTAATAATCTGTTCAACAGTATTCTTGCAAGAATTTTACCAGCAATGGAGAGCAGAGTTATACCACAGTAGCTTGAGCAGTCTGGCTTGACACCTTTGTTCTTATACAGAGTGACGATGATTGCGTCACGAAAGTCTGACGGTATTTTGCCTTGTTCCCAACAGCACACAACTAGCTCATGAAATTTAGCGTGAAGTGCTTGGCCTCCGTGCTTCCGTATTTCAGGTGGGACTCCGTCAACCCCAGCTGCCTTGCCAGTTTTCACCTGCTGTATGGTCTTAAGAGTCTCTCCCATGGTAGGGGCTAAATCCAATTCGTTTTTCACCGGATGTTGCAGAATGTGCCTGATTCCTTTGCCTTGGACTACACGATTAGCACTAAAGAGTGTTTGAATATGTTCAGACCAATGATTCAGGATGGAGATTTTATCTGTAAGAAGCGTTTGGCCATCTGCACTAAGTAAGGGGCTTTGAACCTGAAATGTGGGTCCATACACTGCCTTCAGAGCCTCATAGAATCCTCTGTGGTCACCCAGATCTGCACATCATTGAGTCTTTTCTGCTAGGTTGAGCCACCACTTGTTCTGGGTGTCTCTAAGTTTCTGTTGGAGTTTGCTACATGCAAGACGAAAGGCTGCTTTTCTTACATGGCAGAGTGGCTGAGCGAGGTGTGCTTGATGAGCAGATCTCTTTTTAGTCAGCAATTCCTGGACCTCCTGGTTCCTATCGTCAAACCAGTCTTTGTTTTTCTTTGAGGAGAACCCAATGGATTCTACGGAGGACTGCAGGATGCTGTTTTTGATATGTTGCCAAAGCGCTTCAGGAGAAGGATCTGTAAGTTGGTCTTCAAGCCTTGTTTGAAGGTTAGCCTGAAAGCTGTCCCTCACTGCAGCTATTTGAAGATTATTAACATTGAGCCTCCTCCTTGGAATGCCGCCCCTCTTAGGTTTGGGCTTGAGGTGGAAATTAAGTTTGCAACGCACAAGGCGGTGGTCTGTTTGACATTCTGCACTAGGCATCACTCTGGTCTGGCAAACATCACGAATATTTCTCTGGCGCAGTAATACATAATCAGTAAGGTGCCAATGTTTAGATCGAGGATGCATCCGGGTTGTCTTCCGTCTGTCTTTCTCCTGGAAGATAGTGTTGGTGATGGTAAGCTGTTGCTCTGCACAGAACTCTAGTAAGAGGTGACTGTTATCATTGCAGCTGCCAACACCGTGCTTGCCTAGTACTCCTTTCCAGGCTTGAAAGTTCTTTCCTACTCGGGTGTTGAAGTCACCAAGGATTATGATCTTATCTTCTATAGGAACCTTTTGAGTGAGGTGACACAGGTCGGAGTGGAATTTTTCTTTTTCTGCAGGATTGGCTTGCAGAGTTGGAGCATATATGCTGAAAAGAACAACGTGTTGCTTATTGTGTAGTGGAAGACGTAAGGAGATAATACGGTCGGAATGACCTATCAGCAAATTTTCAAGTTTAGAGGCTGTGGAGTTTTTAATCATGAAGCCGACTCCAGAAAGATGACTTTCAGTTTTGGATTTGCCTGACCAGTAGAGTGTATAGCCAGCACCATGTTCTTTGAGGCTACCTTCCTCATGAAGGCGAACTTCACTGAGAGCAGCGATACCGATGTTAAGTCATGACAATTCATGGGCAATTAGCGCAGAACGGTGCTCAGGACGCCCACTATTCGCTGTATCAAGCATGGTTCTGATGTTCCAACATGTGAGTGTCAATCTGGACACACCTTTGGAGGCAGGTGTATGCCTTTGTCTCTTTGTCTTTAATTGACCACAATAGAAGTTGCCCATTGGCCGTGGCTAGCCAACCAGGTGGAGGAGGAGATGAGCTTTGGTTAGGCCACCTTTTCTAGGCCTCTCTCCATATGGAGCAAGCAGTGCTGTCCTTGAAAAAGGCTGCTTGGTCATTCAGAATGATGCTGAACAAGACTGTCATCTCCTGGGTCAGTCTCAAGCGACCAATGTCCTGAACCGCCTGCATGCAGGGTTGGGTCTGCGACTTCCAGTGCACCTTATCACCTGCCGTTTTGTCCCTCGCCTGTCGCTACAGGGCTTTGCAAGTGTGGGTAAAGCCTTCGGGCCTGCGCAGTGGATTTATTTTAGCTGAGGCACAGTGTGCGCAGAACTGGCCTCACCCTTT